GGCAGCTAGGCATGAGACCCCCACCTCCAAAGCCCCCTGAGCACACACGGGTGGGGTGGTGTCACAGCAGAGGGAGAGGGGACACCATGATGCGAGCACCACCCTCATCCCCTCTTCTCCCACCAGTGATGGAAGAGTGGGTGATGCCCAGTGGGAAGTTGCACTCTGCTGCTCTCAGGTTTCCTGTTCTGCTCCCTGTGGAGCCTGACTTGGTTCTCTGCCTTCATGCTTACGCTGTTACTCTTGTTGATAAAGGGCAAGACTTGCAAAGTAAGCCCAGGCTGTGGTGAACTCCACGGAGAGTGGCTTTTCCATGTTCAGCTTTGATAGGGATATTAATCATATCTTCTGCCTGGGCCACCAGCGGTGGAGGCACCTTGTTTGTGCTGGGGACCTGTGCTCTTTACCAGCCCCATGGGCTGTGCCTGGCTCCAGGGGGATTGCCCTTCCTTGGCTGTGCCCTCCTTGCCCTGTGGTGTTCCCAGGGTGGAAGTGTCACCTTGGGATTGCTGAACCTCAGCCACACTTGCCCCTGTTTTCCATGGGAGCAGGACAAGCCGCATGCGTGGAGAGGAGAGCCTATGTTGCAGGACCCTGGACCCTGCTCATCTGGGAACATCTGACCTGAGGGCACTGGAGAAAACACATTTCCAGGTGGTTGGCAAACCCCCAGGACAATGTGTTCTGCCCTAATCTCAAGCTGCAAGGGACAGGGAGGAGCCTCAGAGGCTCAGACCCCTCTTGAGGGAGCTGCTGCTCCCAAAAAGGGGAACACAGGGGACATCTCAACCCTGCTTGAGGGCTTGCAGCAGCTACAGATGCTTCAAACAGCTACAGATGCTTCAAACAGCTACAGAGAGGTTCAAACTCTAACCGGGGAAGTTCAGGTTAGATCTAAGGAAGAAGTTCTTCCCTGTGAGGTGGTGGGACGCTGGAATGGATTGCCCAAAGAAGTGGTAAATGCTCCATCCCTGGCGGTGTTCAAAGCCAGGCTGGATGGAGTCTTGGGTGACACGGTCTAGTGTGAGGTGTCCCTGCCCATGGCAGAGGGGTTGGAACTGGATGATCTTAAGGTCCCTCCCAACCCAACCCATTCTATGATTCTATGATTCAGCTCAGGGTCTCAGGCTTGTGCTGCCCTGCACTGAGGCACCTGTAGGTCCAGCTAACAGCTCCTCTGCCCCTTCATTTGGCCCCTTTATGCCCATGCTTGCTGCAGCCTGCAGAGCTCAGCACCAGCCCCGGGGAAGCAGCTTGTTCAATAACTACAGACAATGAAAAGAAGCACTGGAAAAAAGAGAGGGGAAAAAAGGAAAATCACTAAACACCAAACCCTCTTTGGGTTTGCGCAAGTGGCCTTGGGCCCCAGGCAGTATCGATCACTGAGTCTTCCGTGCTGCCTGCACAGCAGCTGGGTCGGCAGGAACCCTCCAGGTCCAGGTCTTGGAGGCACAAGGGCCTGGAAGCCTGTATCTTGGGACGGTGTCTGCTGATGGGGAGATGCGGGTCCCCACTCCAGCGCAAGGCTCAGTGCAAGCGCCTGCCTCATCACGCACACAACATGGGTAACCACTGTCTCCTGCTAGAGGTTGCTCCATCCCTGCTCAAGGTGTTCCTCTGGGGCAATAACCAGAGCTGCTCATGGCTCCGACCAGCCTGGCTTGATCCTGGAGCAGGACAGAAGGTGCCAAGTTGTCCTTCAAGCCAGACGGAGGAGGTCTGACTCTGCTCTCTTCCATCTGCCAAACCTCTTCCTACCAGTTCAATTCTGTCTCCAGTCTCTGTGCTGGGGTGATTGATGGCACTGCCGTTACCCAGCTCCATGCCCTCATGAACCTCCCTCTCCCACCACCAGCACCCTCTCCCTGCTTTTTCAGCCCTCACACATTGGGACACATGGGAAGCATTGGAGAAACCCTAACATGAGATTACACAATGGGCTGATGTGTCGGAGCCGCCCTTTGCCCCCAGCTCTCACGGCATTGACATGTCCCACAGCCAGGCTGGCAAGGGGCAGCAAAGGGGGTGGCTGCTCTGGGCTGTGGGCCAGAGGCTGCTCTGCAGTGAGCAAGATGGTAATGGGCTGTAGGCACAGGTGGGGGTCCTGGGTGGCTTTGGTGGTCCTGCCCGGCAGTTGTTACCACTTTAAAAGGAAGAAAAGTTGCTCCATTTGGTCCTGACTTAGGACAAGAATGACCAAACACAGGCAGTTCTGGTAGAATGGAAAGTTTTGCCCAAGCAAGGAATCTTGGGGCTGTGTGTCCTCGGGGAGAGGTGAAAGATGTGCTGGCTAACAACAGGGCACACACGTACATGTGCACACACTACAGCTGGGAGTCCTTTATTGAATACCAGGGAGCCAGGATGCTTGGAGAGGGAGACACTTTCCTCCCACCAGGATCAGTTTCCCCTTTCTCGCCGCCCTCAACCTCATGTCCAGCTGAGCAGTGGGGCTCCATGGATGGCCCTCACCCCTCTGGCCTGGCCATCCCCCAGCACCTTTTCAGCTTCTACCTCCCCAGCAGCCTGAGGTGGCCACTGCTGGGACCCAGTACCTGAAGAGCACATGTTCGTGTTGCAGCACTGAGGGCTGCACCATGGCCTTGGCCTGGGACCAGCAGCAGGGCAAGCGGCGCTGTCCTGAGCCGCTCTGCAGAGTCTTGCAGGTAGAAGGGTCTAGTCTCCATGAGGAGCCAGTCTCAGATGGCTCAAGGGCAGAGAGGAATCCATGGACAAATCTGCAGGGGTAAACGAGCTGTGTGGAAGGGGAAGGAGGAGAGGACTTGCAGATCCAGCATCACCCTTAGTGCTTCAGCCTCAGGAGGAGTAAACACCTTGGCAGGGTTCTCATCTCAGCAGCTGGCCAGGTCTTGGGCTGCCAGAAAGGGGCCAGGAGGAGGAGAGCCCTGCACAGCACAGGTCCTGCCCTCCTGCCTCCTCAGGCCGCAGGTCAGGTACAACCACAGGCATCAACAATCATGTCGGGGATGTTGGTCTTGACGATGTTGCTGTCCCGGTCATAGTAGAGCAGAGAGAGGGGGCGACGCTGCGTGGGGACACAGCAAGAGTCCACGGCCGCATCCGCATTGTTGGCTTTGATGAGGTTGAGGACAGCTGTGTGGAAGGAGGCAGCAAGGCCGGGGATGCCAGCCATGTGCAGGGGGCAGAGCCCTGCGCAGTAGTTCATGTGGTAGCCCTCCGGCTGGATGATCCAGTCCTCCCAGCCGATCTCCTTGAAGTCCACGAAGAATTCCTGGCGGCAGCACATCTTAGAGTCCCTGCTGCAATCAATGCTGCGCCGCTGCACCCGGTGGGGTGTCCTGGCCCGGGCTTGGGCTGCCACAAATGGCCGGTGGGAATCATTGTGGCCAGCCAGGAGGGGAGAACCCCAATCCTCTGCTGCCTCCAGCTCCACAGTGAGTCTCTGACTCCCTTGGCCAAAGAGGCCCTGGACAGCTTGGCCCACGTCCAGCGTGGCCCAGCCAGGCTGCTGCACTTCCAGCCGTGTCTCACGGGCTATGGTCATGTTGAGCCCTGTCAGGTCTGGCTGCAGGAGTCTGACAGTGACAGGGTGCGTCCCAGGGCCGGGATCTGCCCAGAACAGGTAGAGGGTGGCTTGCAGGATCTCAGCATTCCCAGCCAGCTCCCGGGTGAAGCGGAAATGCAGGTGGGCACTGCGGGATGTGGAAGACCCTGTGCACAGAACGGAAAGAAGAGGTGAAGGGAGGAAGCCCAGCCCCAGCTCCAAGCTGGAGCAAAACGGAGGTGTATCCAAACTGGGAGCAGGACACAGGCGCTGAGGGTCCTGGGTGCAAAGGGTCTGGACATGGAGCCTCTTATTGCCACTCCTTCCAGCAGCAGCCTGCCCC